ATCGTCTTATAGTCGGAAAAATACGGTACTTGCTGTCCAAATATAAATTTGCCAAATCTGGAAACTGAGACTGTGTACTAGATCTGGCAAGTCCTCACATACTGCAGTTTGTGATTTTTCATTGGCAAGCTTGTGACCTCAACAGCATTCCATATCTCCTTAATTCTGTGTTTCCACCATATCCTTTCATCCACCCCATCAACTTCTGTGGTAACTGTAGGACATCCAGAGTTTTGGGTGGAAGTGCAAATGATTTCCTGGCCTAGTATGGAATTTTTGAGGTCTCCCATGTTATGGAAAAGTGTTTTAGATGCATTGTGACTAAACTATAGCTGGGAAAGAATGGTTTTGCCAGTGTGTGTTTGTCTTCTGCTTGTTTGTTGTAACAAGAAGGATTACAGTGTGTGCAATTTTTTAACATTCCTAGGAAGGTGTGGAGTTTGGCGTTAGTTCTCACTTATCCACTGCATCTTTGTATGACAAAGGCAGCCCGAGATCTTCATTACTTGTAGAACAAACTGAGAAGAAGTCCCCACCTAAAGCTATGCATTGTTCAGGTATGATTTTTTTTTTCTGACCATTTCCAATATGGGAACCATAACCATGGTCTAAATTACTATTGTAAGAATAACTGAGAATTGGGTCTTTCGCTCAGTTAAATTCTCCTGTATATGTTTTCATTGGTTTGCTTAGGTCTGAGTATATTTGCATATGTATAAAATAGTTCCTGAGAACTGTTCCTTGTTTTTAGATCATGTATGCTCATGTAATAGGTGGCATTACTATAGAAAAGATACTTCATCTTAAAGAGATAATCCCTATTGCTCACAGTATTTGCAAATAATTATGTTAAAATAGTTTCAGAAACTTGCAGCCTAATACATTTTAAAACCTTCTGATTAATTAGCTAATTTAAACAGTGCTGCCGTACTATTTTGAATAGTAAAATGTGATGTATAAGTGGTGGTTGGTGGGGATAGTTAGGGGTTTTTTTGCCACTTTTCTTTTTGTAAAGCCTTCCTTACCTGTTTGTGATTCTTAAACAGATGTGTGCAATGATACATCAGCATCATCTAGGGCTAAAAAAATAATATGAAACAGTAAATTAAGAGATGCTGTTCACTTATTTTCAAAAATGTATAGAATCACTGGGCTGATTAGGTTATAATGTTACACTAAGTGCACAAGCAAGAAAGGATATAAAAGAAATCTTATCTTTGTGCTTCCTTTTTCTCTTGTACAATTGAACTTAATTAGCTATTCCTTTCTGGTATTGGCTTATCTTTACATTTAAACCAGAGACTGTGTTTGAAAGCAAGCTCTGTTTAATAAATGGTGTAACACTTATTTGAAGTTGGCCAATGATGAGTTTAAATCACAATTTCTAATATACATCAAGAATAAGCCAGGATTTGGGCAAACTAAAAGCCAATAGAGTCCTGTCAGCTACACTGAAGGAAGAGAAGGGAGTGTGCAAATGCCAGACTTTACTTTATCTGATTCCAGCTGATATGTTTGAACCAGCCCATATATTATGAATGGTCACCTTGTGTGAGATGAGCGGCTATATAAATATGATAAATAAGTAAGTAAGTAAGTAAAGTATGTATTCTTTAAAGGCAGGTTTGATGCCTGGTTGTGTTGTACACTCCACTTCATTTAATGAAGTTCCTCTTCCTGCCCTCCTTGTTGCCAGCACTGCTATTTCTGTTGAGCTGCAGACAGTTGTATAATGAGGAACGTAACCTTTTTTCTGAGCACTTACTTCAAAAACAAATTCTCTTCTACAGCAAATGGATCGTCAGTGACCCCTAATCGAAATAATCCAGCAGCCTCAAAACCTTTAATTCAGCCCAAGCCTCTGTTGCCTGCCTTTTGTGAGACACAGCCCAATCTCCAGGCAAAAACCATTGTCATTCCAGCCCTTCCCACACTCCTGACACTGCCCAAGCAGCAGCCAGTTGTTACCATCCAGCCAGCACCTCCAAAAGGTATATGAGTGAGTGGGGTGGAAGGAATGGGATGGGATGGGGTGCATGTCAGATCTCTTGTCAGGAGCAGGTGATGTTGAATGTGTCATGTGCAAGCACTACAGTTTCCTAAAACAGGATTGCTAAGTATCTTGTATGTAGAATTGCTTTAAATGGGTGCAACTTTAATAGCTCCAACCCTCAGACTTATAATACTTGTTTTCTGTCAGCATCTAGTGGCAAACTTATCAAGTTCTATGTCTGAAAGGGCTATTTGGAGCAAAACTAAGGTGAAAAAAGTACTTTGATTTCCAGGTGGCAGGATTCTTGGCTTCTGAATTAATTACAGGTAGTCCTTGCTTACCGACCACTCATTTAGCGACTGTTCAAAGTTACAACAGCACTGAATAATGAGACTTATAACCACTCCTCGAAGTTGCAGGTGTCGCAGTGTCCCTGTGGTCACATGATTGCAATTCAGGCACTTGGCAACTGGCACATATTTACAAAGGTTGCAGCGTCCCGCGGTCACGTGATTGCCATTTGTGACCTTCACAGCCAGCTTCTGACAAGCAAAGTCAATGGGGAAGCTGGCAGGAAGTCACAAGTCATGTGACATCATTGCTTAATGACCCACGGTGATTCATTTAATGACAGCAGCTGGAATTGATGAATAGGCATCATCATAAGTCAGGCATGGTCATGTGATTTTTCACTTTATGACTCCATTGCTTAGTGATGGAGTTGCTGGACCCAATGCACTTGGTAAGTGAGGACTACCTGGATTAGCAAGTAATGGAGGATATTTAACTCTAACATTGGGAAAGGGTATTTTTGATTTTACTGGAGCACAGGAGGGTATGAGTGCAATTCTTTAAAGCATATTTTCTTTTCCTGGGAAGATAAGGCAGCTGCCACATTATCCCAGGAAAAGATACAGTTCCTTCATCTGCATGCTGTATAGCATATTTTCAAATCAGAATGCAGTATTGCAGAGCCCTCATACATACACATATTCATTATATCTTTCAGTTGATAATATATCAAAATTAACATTAGTACATTAGAAGTGGAATGGCTGGTCACTAAACATTCCTGGGTGACTATACCTTTGGAAAATGAGTAGAATCTCACTTAAATAATCTAAATAAACCATGCTCAAAAGCAATATATCTGTGATTATCAAATTTTTGTCTACTTACAGTGTGTTGGTTGATAAGCAGCTCTCTCTAGATGTGTTGCTTGTGAACAGTTTGTGGATAATTTATGTAGACATTATTTGTGAGTTGTTGGTAGTGGGTAGTGTGGGTCGACATTGTAGAAGTGGCCCTATTCTCTAAACTGCTGTTTTCTGTTAACTACAGCTCATGTGCCACACATAGTAACCATTTTAAAATCTAGTCCCAGCCTCAAAAGTAGCATGTGATATATGATGTGGTATGGTGTATGGTATTTAAATGAAGGGATCTTCATTGTGCAAAAGCAAGCCTTTGGGCATGACTAAAGCAACATCTTTGAATTCTTCAGAAATTACTGGGTACCTAAGGTGTGAAATGTTCTAGGCCTGTGTATGTTTAGCTATGTAAAGTAAAGCAATCTTTTCTCCTCTTTGTACAGCTATCATGAGGCAAAATGTAGCATGCACAGAAATTCACATTTTTTGTAAGTGCTAAATCAGTATACCAAAGCTTTTTGTTCCTACCTTAGGTCAGCCAGTAATGCTTTCTCAGTCTGCTGTGGTTCATCTTCAGACATCTGGAATCCTTCCTGCCACGAACCCAGCCATTGCTGTTACTGGTGGAGTCAAACAATTAACAGGTCACACCATCAGGGTATTACCACAAACATCAGGAAAGAATTTGACCAGTAGAAACTTAGCAGAAGCTAAGTCTGTTCTTCACGCCACCTCCCCAAACACAAACATGGATGTAAGTTCTTTCCAGCTTCTGTTTGTAATTAGCCTTTCCACCCAGAGACCTTATTTGCTGCAGATCTGCTTTCAGGACCTGAAGAATATTTTAGCCAAGCATCACTAGTAACGTAACTCAGAGCATGAAGCTTCTAGAGTGAGATTTCACCTCCGAGCAATTTAAACTTTTCTATGAACTTGTAAACTTCTAGATTTTCTTACTAAAGAGAAGAATATTGGAAAAGTAGTGCCTCCTGAAGGCTTGGAAATTCAAGTGGTAACATTCCAATTGGTGCTTCTCTGCCCTTTTTATTTCTGGTGGTAGAGCTGGTTCCAGTGTTAGCCCTTGAGTTTGTGTGTGTGTGTGTGTATGAGTACATACGCATGCATGGCTGACTGTACGGGTAGTCCCCAGTTTAAGAATGAGTTCCATTCCCACGGTCTGTCCTTAAGCTGAATTTGTATGTAAGCTGGAACAGTATTAGTGTATAATACTGTACAGGTAGTATTATGTAATGAACTTGAACCATTGTGTATTTAACTTGAATTTTGCTACAATAGGCACTTATCTTAACGATGGGTTGTCTGTAACCCGGGCATTCTTAACCTGGGGACTGCCTGTATTCAGACAGGAGGATCAGTTTTTGAAATTACTGAGTAATGCAATGTAAAATCATAAAGTTATTTGGACATCTACCTTCCTGTTTAACACTGTCAATGCGTTTGGCAAAAATTGGGAAATGGTGATGTGATAGAATTATGTCCAGCTTGTTCTACATCATGCTTCTGGTTATTCATTTGCATCCCAATCCAAGTCCAGCAACCACTGCACCATCCTGACTCTCTTATGGCGGGGGGGGGGGGTACTGCCAGGTAGACTGGACTTGGCTAGAAATCTTGTTATACTAGTTTTATATGTTGGAAGGCTTTTATTTTTGTTATTGTAGGGTCATACAACGTGAAGGAGTCAAATGCCAATTTGCCACTTTAACAAAAATTAAACTGTTGGTCAGTCCTGCCCTTAAACCTTGCCCTTTTCAGTATCTATATATGTTAATGGAGTGCCAAAGAAATGCCTTGCCAAACCATCTGCTGAGCATGGGGTCAGTGAGGCTGGAATGAAACCTTCCCTCATTAACCAGATGTCTTGGTGTGCATATGGGTATAATCTGTGCCTTTACTTTTTTTTCCCCAACTGCCAAATAAACACTGTACCTAAAGCATTATAAACACACGCAAAATGAATGCAGATGACTTCCGTTAAGCTGGATAAGAACTCACTTCAGTACATCATCAGTGTAGAGACGAAAACTTTCTCTCAACCAATCCATGCACCAAGCAAACAAGTTCTGTTGGGCCTCCAGTGGCACTACTAAGTGGCTGGAAAGGGAAGCCTTCAGCAGCCCGGTAAAGGAGGAAGAGATGCTATGGTAAACGGGTCTATTGAGTGAACTATGTGAGGCACAGAGCTACTCAGCTAGCCTCATCCATTAAATTTGGCCCATTCCTGGGAGATGCAGAGATTATTCTGACATCACTACCACCAAGTCATCACTCAGAATGGGGAAATACTGGAATAACTGGAGCTGAATTTTATTAGTGTGATGTGCTGGCTCCCTTCCGGGTATTTCTCAACAATGGTCCAGTAATAATAAAATCTTACCTCTCCTGGTGCTATTATGCAGCGTTTCATGAAAATGTGAAGATGCAAAGAGCCCTGTGGAATGCTCTTTATATAGTTTATCAGATTTAGAGTTATATAAATTAAAGCAACAAGAAAAATGGGAAATTCTGGAATTCGTAGGGGTACTTGTTTTTGTGTAATATAATGACATTGTTAAATTTTCCTTTCCTTTCCTTTCCTTTCCTTTCCTTTCCTTTCCTTTCCTTTCCTTTCCTTTCCTTTCCTTT